CCCAAAAAATCTATGTCAACCTAATAAATGTTTTACAGAAATCATGACTCATGGACTTTTTGTGCATTTTGAAGATTTTATCTTTTCTTTTAAAGTATTACAAAAGTACTGCTCATTAAGAACTTCCTCATATCAATCTGATATATATATATATAATTCAGTTAAACAAATGGAATCTCTGCATGTATATGATTTAGTTCATCCCTCCTGCTATGTTCAATGCAACCCCACAGGGGGGAATAACATGTCCCTCCCATTGACTTTACATTGTAGGTCCCTCCATCTTAAAGCGATACCGATTCTCTACTTAAGATTTAACACACTTGTTTTGGAGTGCAAGGCTTAGACGCATTTCTTCATGCTCCATTCTTCCCTTCTGCTTCCTTTCATGGATGTTTTGCACATTTCTGCTCAGGTGTGTTTCTTTCTGAAGGCACAACCTAAATGAAAACAGATACATTTGAATATATCTCATCACAGGCAAAACAACAAAGTATAATATGTAATACCTATCTCTTTATTTTATTCAAACTCTATTTCATATACAGCATGTACTTTTTGGGGGAAATGTCCTATATATTACTTAATTTTGCAATTAAAGTTTTTCTGTAATGTATAAACCAAGTGATACAAACTAAAATAAATATTAATGTATAAATAATATACACCACGCATGCATCCAGAATCAATTACATCTACATATATATTTTTTTAAAGCGGGTGCTAATGATGCAAACTGAAAAAAACCAAAATAAACCAAAAAGTACAAATAAATGAATAATTTAAAATAGCGTCTACTCCTCTAATGTGTAATTGATGCCTATGGGTTCTGTTAATTTATTTCCCCAAGCCCCACCTTTCTCCATTTAGAAATGATTTAGCTAATTGGAGGGTTATTAATTGTATAAATTAAATCACAGCCTCACTCACTCACTCACTCATTATACTTAATATTTTTGTTTACTATTTAAAGTTAATTTATCAATTTCTAAGACTTCATATATTGTTGCCTCCCGTCTGATGGACTTATGGGTTTGTCATCTTCATCATAAATCTACTCAAAGGTTCAAAGGGCTTTACTGTCTCATGCACAGCTACAGTATGCAATAAAAAACGTAATTGACAGGCTCCTCCAACAATGCAACATAAGTATATTCAAGACAATAAAAAATAAAAAATGTGCAAGCTCAGGAGTTAAGCAGTCTTATGGCTTGTGGGATAAAACTCTGGTGGTCTTTGTAACCACTCACACCTGCAAGAAAAATCCTAAGCTCTTAAATATCTATGTTTTACCTTCAGTTAGTCTGCATTTCCCCCCTGCTGGTTGGCAGAGGATTAAAGAGCAGCCCCCACATGGCACCACGGTCTGAGCGTGGCTGAAGATGGTGGTGATCTTGTAGCAGCCTGGGGAGCAGAGACAATAAGATACTTAATCATACACATACTGACGCTAAAATCAGAGAGGAACATCTACAGCGTGTTGCAGTCCTCACCTGCGCATTTAACATCCATGAAGTAGGAGTTTGGACTCTGCACCAGCCTCTTCTTCTTGTGTCTGCTCCTCTCTTTGGCCGGACTGGGGTGGAACAGATCGCTATCCTGCAACCGAGGTCAGAGGGGTTTAGATTTCTAGTGTACATGTTTTTTAACGCTATTGTAAATGAAATGTGTGGGTTTTTTTTCATTGAACGACGAGGCGATGATAGTTTGTTAGATGTTTTGATCACACCGTAATGCCCCCTACAGTCTGGTAAATGAAGTGAAACTAAAAGCAAGTGCATAAACATGTCTGGGCAAGTCCCTATCATTTCTGGGAATCTACACATGCATACTGTATGCATGAAATTATTGTTAAATACATTTCAAACACATATTTACGCATTACACCACATGAATTGACATAACTACATAAAATGTGTTGCTTATCAATTGATAACAGACTATTTGAGAAGCTTTCTATTAATCAAAGCTGTTATGCAAGCCCTAACGTTTCATTCCAGAAATAAAAAATCACTTACAGACATTTTTGCTCCAAACACTCAAGGTTTTTCGTCCAATGCAAATACGAGAGATAAAGTGATATTTGAAGTGCGGCTCTCTGTCTCAAAGCAGCTGGAGTTTGTTGTTGTTCTGCAGGTGGCTCTGTGACCGAAAGACACCGAGCAGGCGGGCGGGGTCTCTCTTTAGGGGAGGCGCGTCAGATGGGTGCACTAGTCCAAGTTTACATAATTATTTTATAACTAGTTTTGTAAACTGTACAATTAAAAAGTCAATGATTCAATTAAATGTGGTCTCACTAGAGCTTTGTTTTACAGTAAAGGAAATACAATTTTTCAAAATAGACTTTTAGACACCCTTTGGGATCTTTATATGATATTCAATACCTGTCTTATATTGATTGATAATTTCCCCCTTAATTTACGAAATAAAAACTTCATGGTTTTCTGTTTTGAGATGGTGCAAATATTTAATATATAATAACTAGGGCCGGGACTCGATTAAAAAAATTAATCTAATTAATTACA